ATATGCAAAAAAATGTAAAAGAAAATTTTATTGTTCAATTTTATTGTTCTAAATTTTAGTAAAAAAATTGCTAAATATATGTAAATCCAGAAGTTACATAATCAATAAATTTTAAAATTCACTTTTTTCGAAAATTAATTTTATTCTTAAAATAATAATATTATTCTATTTATACATATGTTATTCAACCGGATTCTATATATTTAAAATTATAATAATTTGTATTACATATAAATACAAAATTATCATATCACTATAAAATATTTATTTATTGTTTAATTAAAATATATAATATAATAGGTATCAACATATTATTATTCCATAATACAAAAAAAAGATATAAGAAATACATAAAAAAAATAAATAAATATGATATATATAAATATAATATGTATAATATATGTAAACAAAATGTAATAATATACATATATACATATATGTAATAATATATATATATATACAAATGTAATAATATACATAAATACATTAAATTACATAATATTTTTATTTCGAAGAAAAAATGCTATAATAAACATGCTATAATAAACAGATAATATTTTATAAATTATCTGATTAGAAATATGAAATGAAATTTTACAAAGAAAAATCATAATTTTTTATTACCTGAAATAAGAAGAAGAAAAATCAATAGCCATAATCTCTGAATCCACATATATATCGAATTATTATACGGCCACAATCCTACAATTTTCATCACTGTACGATAGGTACAATAGTGTTTATCGAATACGTCCATTTTCCTAGTTAGATATCGACTGCTGTATAGAATTTGAAAAAAACATTTGACTATACCTTGGTTTAATAAATTATTTACGCAATTTTTCTTTTTTATATTTTCATAGTCTCTTTTTTATAGTAATAACAATATATAATGTATAGTAATTGCTTTAAATTACAATCAATCAATCATTTCATTCACATCTTTTGCGAAAAGTTTTTTCATAATAGGCATCAAGTTCGAAGAAAATTATAGTTCTCCAGTTTTTTGTGTTATTAATCTTTATTAATCTTTATTTTTTAAACCGAGGTATAGTTTTTTATTTTCTTTTGTTTTATTTTGTATTATTCTGTTTTATTTTTCCCCCTTTTTTTCTAGACATTAAGAGAATGAAAATTTATTACAATGAATATTATTTTCCGGTTACCTGAAGATATAACGCGACAACTTGATAACTTCAAAATAACTCTCTTACTATAGAAATATTTCATATTGTTACTTTGTGCACTCGACAAAAGTGAAAATGAGAATTGGAAGAGATCAACAAAAAAAAATGCGTTTGAATTAAAATAATGGTATCTATAAAAAATTTTTATGATATAATATAATATAATATTATATTAATTTTATATATATATAGAAAATAATTTTTATATGTTCAATGTCATATTCGTATTATAAAAATAATTATTATTTTAAATTATTGTTTATAGAATGCAATTATTAACACTTGAACTAGTAATTTTGTTATTTTCTATTTGATTTTTCACAAAATTATTTGCAATTATATTTTATGTAGAATAATATAATTTAAAATGTTTACGAAATAATTTAATGAAATCTAATATAATTTTATCAGAAATATATATTAACAAAAACATATGTAAAATTATAATATTAGAATTGAGAATGAATAACATAAAATCATTTCAAAATATAAACAATATAATTTTATTATTATCGAGATAAATTTATAAACAAATATATTTATACAACATAATTTTCAAAGAAACGCTTATGAAACTTTTAAAACTGCTTAAATAAATACTTCGTAATGTTAGAGATAACATTGAAATGATTTAATTAAAATAAAGAATATACAGTAGGAAAGAATATATTTAATAAAGGAAAGTAAGCAGGAAAGTATAGTAATAAACTACTATATAGATAGGTTGTGTCATTATGAATCTGATATTTTTTTTCTTTATTTTTTAATAAAGATAAATTCCTTTCACAGGATTCCTATTCAATTGAGAAGATCGCAGTTTCTTAACGGCACAATAAGAATCAATAATATCGTAATTAGTTTCCTGACTTACAATAACAAGTTAGAGGAAATTAAAGGAAATTAAACTGTTAATATTGCATATTTATTAGCTTATATCATACAATAATATTATCATAAATTTTTCCGAATATATGGCGATGCCATTGAGTATGTCATGATTCTTGAACTTTGAGATCATGTTATGCTCTAATCATACAGATTTAATTTCTTTCAATATTTCAACGACAGAAGTTTTTAGTTTTTAGTTTTAGGTGAAAAAATGATTCGGGAATATCGCGTTTTTTGTAAAACGAATATCTTAAACAAGATTTAAATACTTGATTTCATGCAATATTATTAACTCTTTGAGAATGAATACTGCTGCTTATTGATCACTAGAGAAGCAAGGATTCTGATCCTGAAGATCCTGCGGCTTCGCGAGAACCTTTCTTTGAAAATGGCTCTCCAACGACCATATTAACTTCTTATATATTGTATTCAGTTATTAGTAAAAAATTTTAATAAAACACATAAAACAATACATATTATTTCTAATATTTAAGTCTTTAATTTCGTATATATATATATAATTTTATTATAAATATATAATTACAAGAGAATTGTCTTTTTTTATTTTTACTGGTATATTTTTTCAATATTTCTAAATAACTCTCACACGAACAAATATTTCCCAATCATTCGGTGATGAGATAAGAGCAAATTTTATCTAAAGGAAAAATAAATCAAACTAATCAGTATGTATTCTAAATATAATATTTACACTTTATATAAGAATTATATATGAGATTTATATACGAGAAATATTAATTTGTTGCTACTATTTGAAATTTTTATTTATAAGATATTTAAGATGAAATATTCTTTTAAAGTGAGAAATATAGTAATTATACATATAATAGATCTACAGGATACATTAATGTACATTATGTTGCAATATTACATAATATATAATTAGTAATATATATTACATAATATATAGTTGATATATATTTTATATAATGTAATATATAGTTGTACTATTATTATCTTTTATTTTGATCAAATAAAATTGGTTTAACAATTTTATTTAAAATAATCAATTGATGAAAATCTTTTTCCTAGTAAAATGAAAATTAAAATATTATTAAGCAATACAGATTGTATATCAATATAATATTGATAATATTGATATTATCATATTATATCATATCATATCAATATTAATTTTTATAATCCATATTTGGTTTTTTTTTATAAAAAATGAAAGTTTTGCAGTCTATTAAATGTTACAATTTCTTAATTGAGAAAAATAAATAAATAATTTAAATTATGAAATCTTCAAAAACTAAATTAATTTTTATAAAAGATTAATTCTTTTAAAAAAAATTTTCAATCTTAATACGCAAAAAAATCAAATACACGATTATCAAATGATCAATTTAAAAACAATAATTTCATAAATTCGCAAAAAAATAAATCATAGCAAATATTTTTAAAATTTTAATTCATTAATTAATGAATTAAAATAATTTAAAAATTAATTCATTAAAATAAATATTAAATATAAAAGTAATAATGAAATAATATTGTTCTATATATTACTATATATTCTATATATTCTTTTAATAATATTACTATATATTCTTTTTTTTATAATTTTGAAATTGATCAATATTAGTTTTGAGAGATTTGTGTATAGAAGGTATTAATATTAATTCATGAAATACTTTTAGAAGATCGATTTTAAATATTAAAATAAACATAAAAATTGCAATACAAAAATATAAATTGAGAATTAAGTAAGAGTAAGTTAATTTAAATTTGAGCAGATGAAATGAGAAACGGAATAAATGAAACAAACATTATTTCATTTTTTCTTTTTCATTAATTAATTAATAAATTAATAAAATAATTAATTAATAATTAATTAATTAAAATAAATTTTTAATTAATAGTAAATTAAATTGCTTATAATTCAATTCAATTCAGTTAATAAGCTTCAACCAATATTTTATTTAATTTATAACTTTTTCTTTCTTTATTATTTACATAATATAATTTTACAATTTTGATAATAATTATTGCCACAGTAATAGTAAAATATTATTTATAATTTAACAATAATAAATCATGAAAAAAACTCAATATAATTATGAATTTTATTAATATCATCAAATTTATTAAATATTGACATGATTTATAATGATCTCTTTTAAATATTAATTATATTATATATATTAATTATAATAATACGAAAATGATCAATAAGAAGTAATATAATAATTTGAAAAAAAATATAAATAATTTGAAAAAATATTAATGAAAAGAACAAAAAAAGTAAGGAACAAATATCAAAACGAAATATAGAGCAATAGTTTATTTCTATGCCAACATATCTAATATGAAACCATTGATTCTATTGTATTGAATATATCAAAATAAAATATGAAAACGATGCATCTAACATCTAAAATGCAGTAATTTTTATTAGTTTGAATTAAAGTGATATATAATTTTATAGTTATGAGTTAGTTTATAGTTATGATTTATTGAAAAAGACACACTATGTGTCTTTTTCAATAAATATTGTGTAAAACAGAAATTTATTCTTAATTATCGAGTTAATTATATATTAATTTATTTTGCGAAATATTAATTTAAGATGAAATCAATAAATAATTCATTATTGTATGAATCGAAAAAAAAAAAGGAATAATATCAGCGAAATTCAAAAACCTTTATTTTTTATGTTATAATGTTATAATCTCTTTTTTTGTTGTTGTTCCTACTTGTTTTTGCATATAGAGATTTCAGAATTACATTATTGATCAATTCAATAAAAATATTTAAGAGACTATATTAGAAATGAAATGAATTTATTTTCTGTTAAAATTAAAGAATAAATAGAGAATAGTAATTATAATTATATCAAAATGATCAATAACAGATAAATTAATTAGCAATTCGAAAAAATATTTATAGAATTCAATCAAGTAATATTGATAGGACAAATATCAAATAACGAAGAGTGATAATAATTGTTTGATTTAATACTAATACGTCTATGAAAGTATCGATTTTATTGTATCGAATGCATCAAGGTAAAATATGAAAACGATGTACTTAACATCTGAAATCCAGTAATTTTTTTAATAATCCATTAATTTGAATTAATACGATTGTCTACTTATTTAAATTATAAAAATTACCTTCGAAAATCCTATATAGCATGGAGTAAATACACCCAAGATATTAATCATACATGTTGTTGAGCTCCGTATCATGATCAACAGTAAAATCTTTTGTACTTTTAACGGTACAAAATACCATATAGAAATATATCTGTCCAATAAATAGTGATATATATATATATTTTTTTATCATTAATGCGATTAATTTCACGAATAAAAGATTCAAACTTACAATTCGACAAAAAATTCTTGACTGTTGTCTATAAGTATTTGATTACTATTGTTATTCAAGAACGTAATCACCAATTGAATAGTAAAAAATATAAAAGACAATAAAATTTCTAATTGATCGTTCTTAATTAGAATCGCATTTAATAGCTGTTGAAAAATTAAACAAAAATTGAAAAATTAAAAATATAAATAAAATTATAAAATAAATTAATATTATATTTATTTATTATAAATTCGAAATATTTTTAGTGTGTTTTACAAAAAATAAATTCAAGAAAATTCAAAAAAATCTTAATAAGCAAAATTTACATTATTATCATAATGTCTCGTTTCAAACAATTATTCTAAATTATATGTTATTCAAAAAAAATGTTTTATAATGTTTTGTAATGTTAAAATGTTTCAAGAGATCGTCTTATGATCAGATTTGAATAAATAAAAATATATTTAAAGTTTGAAGATAATTTTTTTTTTTTTTTT